CTGTAATGTTAGTACAGTAGAGCACAGTTTGACGTGAGTAAATAGAGCGTTACAGGAGGCTGCTTAAGCTCATTGCTCCTGGATGCCTTCCGGTGCTCCTCCACACCAAATCAATGCACACACACCTGAGCGAAATACAAAACGGAAAACTGTTTATAAATGAATAATACTAATCTCAGTTGGAAATATGTCTTTAAGATACATATAACATCTGCTTAGATTTGGCATCGACATTTCTCTTATTAGATATATTGATTGAAAAGTCTGAAAAAAACGTATTGTAGTGTCATTGGGATATTATTATAGTTTTTATTAATATTTTGAATTAGTTTTTTGAATTTAGGTTTTTATATTTTACGTTTTAATTAGAATTTTAGTTAAAGTTTTAGCAATTTTTTGTGTATTTTTGTCATTCTATTTATTTTTATTTCAGTTTTAGGTATTTTAATTAAGTTAAACTAATAGAAAATGCTAAATTTTGCCTTGGCATTTAGCAGAAGTAAAAAAGCCTACTTTTTTCTATTTTATTTAACATTTTTAATGGTTTTAGTTTAAATATTATAACCACGTAATAATAATAATAATATTATTATATATATATATACACATACACAAAAGCAAAAGTGTAACTGAATTTGGCAACTATTTCTGTTGTGTAGAAAAAGCAGCTTATACTTCTCAGGGTAAAAAAAAAGAAGAAAAAAAAAAAGATAATTACGCAATAAAGTACAAACAGAAAAAAAAAGAAAAGAAAGGAAAAAAAGTGATATTTTATATATTAGTATTTAATTGCATTAAGATACGAAGAAACATTTTTTTAAAGCATCAATCTAGCAAAACATAGTGATGTTTAATCTTAAAACAAGAAAAAAAAAAACTATAGATATATTGGCTACAGTTGAGTCTTAAAGGAACAGTTCACCCAAAATGAATTATTTTATAGTGCACAAGTCATAGAGGTCTCTTTTATGATAAGTTTATGGTACTTCTGCATCCTTTTGAAACTCAAAAGCGGCAGTCTACATTTACTGCACTGCATGGAAAAAAAAATAAATGTATCAATTTCTCTATAGGTGTTCCACAGTTAACAAATAAAATAATATAATAAATTAATAATTTTTATTTCAACTTTTCCTTTAATATTTTATGCAGGTTTTCTTCTCGTATTTAAATGTTTCTTATTATATGGATATTTTCCCGGAAAGCAAGCTGAAGATACTAGTTAAGAAAATGCTTTTAGAGTGCATCATTTAATGACTCATCCTTGTTGAACTCCATAAACCCCTTTTCGACTACACACAATGTCCTCTGTCTCCTTTAAAAGCTTTTATTTATAGTCCTCTGTTTGCACACCTCTGGATCAGAGAATCGGCCATTCATACACACCGTTCTCACCCCAATTTAGCTGCAAATTAAATGTCAGAGTCTGGCACGGAATTCTGATCAGGAAACGCTCAGATGAAAGCAATTTGTCTTTGATAAAAGGTGGCGAACAGACTTTTCCTTATTCATTAAATGCGTTAAATGAACAGATGTACGAGAGATGGATTCAGGGGTTTGACGGTTATCAACCCAAAGCAACACCATCCAGAACAATCAGATCTGCTGTGAGGAGAGCACAGAACATTGAACATGACACAGATGGATCTGGGAATATAAGGCCATGCTCTCTCCGCGTCGCTCTGTCTGTCTTTCTCGCTCTTTCGCACGTGATAATCCATCCTGATCTTCATGTGGGGTTGGAGGCAGAGCTGAGAGCGATGGCCCGAAGCACATCACAGGCACATCTCGGTTCCTGTACTGTACGTACCGGAACACACATATTCTCCTTTATAGTCGTATGATGGATTCCTAACAGGCTTCTGAACCAAAGCGCCACAGGCGGAAGGTCACAAGTAAGATATTGTTGGCTGGGAAGTACCTTAACCATCTTCAACAATGAGTTCCTGGAAAAATCCACTTCATGTTCCCCTGGGAAGGCGCTTTTCATTGCCTAAAGAAAGATTAGTCTTCCTCTATGAAGCTGCCAGAGGCTGCAAGGCATGCTTTCTGTGGAGTGCTGATGTCCACCTGGAGCTTCTTCAGTTCATCAAGAGCAAGGCCTTCTGTATGAACAGATCATCTGAGTATAAATGAAAACCTCAACCATCTTTGCTGAATGTGCGCAAAACAGACAATGAAAACATATGAAAGCAACTATGAATTTTCATGGCTTCAAAATTCACCTACACAATACACAATACACACAATACTCATTTATTTTGCCACTTTTTTGGTAGAAAAGAAGAGAAATGGGATCAGGGAACAGCACAAGATCAATTCAAACTTCTTTTGGCCATATGTGTGCCAAGGCTCAGTGTGTTGGATCTGAAAATCAAACAATAACTGAGAGAGACGTACTACTATATGGTGGCTATGGTCCTGCCATTAGGACACGGTTCCAACAGAAAAGCTTTTAACAAAAGAAACAGGCAAAAACAGTCAAGAGGTATTATGCAAATCACCAAATTACTGCTGAATTCAGTTTGCATGCAACAATTCCCAAACTAGTGGAAAATTTCGCTCCACCACTGTAATCCAAGAACCTGATACGGCATTTTAAAATTCTGAAAGTGAGCTCGATTGCATATACCGGTTATAACGCTCTTCATCATCATTACTCATGCCATGACAAGAATGACAATGATTTAAGTAATGAAAATACATTTATTTAATTAAAATGACTAAATTAAAATAAAATAAGTAGTCAAATTAAAAATACAAAACTGAAAAATTACTTTAAAAATGTTACAAATAAAAATAAAACATGAAATATTAAAAGATTAAATAATTAAAAATGAAACAAAATAAGTAGAACATTTGAAATAAAACTGAAAAATAAACTGAAAATTACTTTATAAAAAGTTAAAAAACACAAATTAAATGCAAATATATCAATTATGTTACAGTTTGTAATATATACAAAAGTAAATTAAAATTAAACAAAATAAGTAGTCAAATTACTAACATAAAAACAAAAGTGTCAATTTATCACATAACATAATTAAATTAATTTAATTTAAATAATTAAACTAAAATAAGTAGTCAAATTAAAAATAATAAAACTGGAAAATTACTTTTAAGTGTTAAAAATAAAAATAAAAATAAAACATTAAAAGAGTAAATAATTAAAAATGAAACAAAATAAGTAGAAAATTTAAAATAAAACTGAAAAATAAACTAAAAAAATACTTGAAATACTGAAGAAATGTTAAATTAAATACAAATATATAAATTATGTTACAGTTTGTAATATATTAAAAATGTAAATTCAAATGAAACAAAATAAGTAGACAAATTACAAACATAAAAACAAAAATGTTAATTTATAAAAAAAATAAAAAATTAAAATAAATATTAAAGTAAATTATTAAATAAAAATATACTAAGTAGTCAAATTGCAAACATAAAAAACCAAAAAGTTAATTTAAAAAACTTTAAATATTAAATTAAACAATAATACATAAAAATGTAACAAAATTAGTAGACAAATTACAAACATAAAAAACTAAAATGTTAATTTATATAGAAACAATATTAAAGTAAATGAGTAAATAAAAAAAGTACTAAATAAGTAGTCAAATTACAAACATAAAAACCAAAAAAGTTAATAAAAAAAGGTAAAAATATATAAATATTAAATTAAATAATAATACATAAAAATAAAATAAAACAAAATAAGCAGGCAAATTACAAAAAAAAGAAAAATAATAAAAATTAAATCTTAAAGTATTAAAAATATAACATTGAAAATTATAAGTGCATTTAAAGCCTGGTTACTGCATTGTAGGTGATTAGTGAATGCTGAAATAATACTGTGAATTTGCTGTGAAAGAATCGATGAACAGATGCCTTAGTGCATAATGAGTCTTTGCAGCACCATTAGCACCAACTAACTTCCCCCAAATTCATCAAACTCCCAGCACCAAAAACTCTGCTGAGCTCGCAACAAAAGCAGGAAACGAGATGCCAGAGTATCAGCATATGTCACAATCTGTCTCAGAGAAGTGAGACCTGTCTTACCTTCAGATAAATCACTAATACAGTCCCAAAGAATCTGGACGTATCAAGATTTCACTCTGACCGTGAGCTAATATTTCATAAACGAATTAACTTCCCAGCGGCAGACGTGATTAGACATAGTATCTATTCTAAGAGGACAGGAAACGCTTCTGTTTCTGATCACATGACACCGGCCACAGTAATCGGTCAGTGTTCAATCGAAAAAAGATATTTTCCATGACGTGCAGTATAAGTATATCCTTATCTGAAATATGATATGCTACGAAAACATCATGTTTTGGACTTCAACGATGAATACTGATAACTTACGGCTATTGATCGAGGGATAAACAAGGCTCATTAATGTTCAAACCTCCACGCAGGCCAGCTAAAATACCTAAAAAAGCATTTCTGTCACGTGAATGTTTCTTTAATTCCCTCTGGACCTTTTTTAGCTTCATATCTGGCGGGAAGAGAAGTGGAAACTGCTATTCCGCCCATGATGCCTAATCACATTTCTCTCTTATTAGTTTCCAAGCGCACCGAGAGAAATTAAGGCTGAAGTGGCTGAATCTAATAAATATTGATGTTCGTTACAGTCTCTCTCTACCTGTCTCTCTCTCTCTCCCGTTCGCTTCTCTGGATGTGTCAGCTGTACCCACAATGCCCCTCCCTTCCCACTCTTTAAAGGATCCGCCTGTCCTGTGGAAACAGAAGAGGCAGAGAAACTGGCTGGTCTCCGAACATACCAGCATTTCTCTGGAGCCACGCCGACTAAATATAGACATTGCATGCTTTGATGTCTGAAATATTAACGGATCTCTCGTGCAAACACACTCCAAAAAATCAAAACTGCTTCGTTTGATGCCAAACCAGTGTGCACCTGCCCAAAAGCACAAACTCAGAGAAGCTTTATGGGAAAAGAACCTCCAAAAAGAGTGATTAAAAACACCCCTTACCGGATGTTTAACGACAGTCGGATGCGGCGTCCGAATGTGTGTCCGTATCCACAGACGCAGAATTATATCCAGAATGCTGATGTGCTCCGGACTCACAAAACACAAGCTTGATGAAGAGCTTGCAGACGCATCCGTGATCCACCTGCTTCCAACACGCATGAACACACAAGCATGCTCCGACACAGAGGGCGTACCTACAGTCAGCCAACGGAGAGGTAGAGTGAGAGATGGAGAGAGAGAGAGAGTGAGAGAGAGAGAGGGGAGAGCATTAGGACGGCACAAGGTGGAGGGAGGAAGTGGAGTGTGGGAAACCGAGAGAGAGAGAGGCAAAGATGCACCAATCACATTTTTTCTCTTCATTGCCATCACAGTAGCTGTTTTCTGATGGAACAAACTGTCCCACGGGGAAGGAAAATTACAAATGAGATCTCTGGAATATCTCAATGGTTTATCCTAGAAGGGAAAGAGATTGAATGGGGGAATCCTCATTTTCTTCATCAGTATTTTTTTTATGTTGTTTCCCATTGAAAACATCCTGAAAACAAGATGAATGATTTTGTTAGATTTATGCTTGTGTTTGAAGGCTGGCTTTATCAGTTTCAAATCTACAGAGCAACTAGGGGTGCAGGATAATTTCATGCAGGAAAACCTCATTTAGTCAGGCTGCGTTTTCCTTTAGAGAATCAAATCAGTGGGATTTTACACCACAATCAATTACAGAAAAAAATACATCCTAATATTCAAGTATAATTTTAGCAATTGGCTTCTTCAGAACCAACCATGTTGACACTGATGTTGCTTTTTTCACCTATAACAATACTATATTATTTCAGTGTATTATATACTGTATGTGCTACTTAAAAGTGGTGTAAGCGATTTCTGGTAGCCAATGTTGACATTTGAAATCACCAAAACAAACACGCCCCTACCCCAAAAGGGTCTCGCCGCTATTTTGGTAGCTCTGCCCCACACATACGTACGCAACCCAGGCAACGATTAGTTCTGTGAAACAAAGCAAAACCAATGTTACACCGTGTCTACACCGGACGCGAATGGCGCGGAGCGACAAAATACTATGGAACTCATTATAATCAGTGATGCTGTCTACACCACATATATACATATCTATGGTCTACACCAGAGCCGTTGAGAAACAGTTTCTCAACGGCTCTGGTCTACACTGGATGCGGCACGACACGACAAATCCCGGACAGAAAACTGCTGCTGCGTTCTATTTATGACGTATTGACACAAATTTCAAATGATTTTCAACAGTCGCTTTGTTGCGTCCAGTGTACTAGACAGACT